AATATATATATATATATATATATATATATATATATATATATATATATATATATATATATATATAATGTTTTGTTAAGGTTTTACTGTGTACTAATTGGTTCTTATTATTGTCATCTTTTTTTTCTAAATCGTATAGCGACATAATTGTTATGTGTATATGTTACCTGTAACTTTCTGTTTTGTTTTGTGATGTAAAATCAGTGATGTGGGCAACAGTCTAGAGCGGAAACAATGGGTCATTTAATTTCTTTTCAATTTGTTCAGAATTTTTGCATCCAAGTGGACTTTTGGGATGTTTGATGACGTGTATGATTTGATGCTTCCTTGGTAACTTTTCCTAAACGCACAATGTATTGTTTAATGAGGTGTTATATGCAATGATGATACATTTGGATTTTGTGATAGCAGGCAATGGTGAAATAATGTGCAATAGATGTTAATATTTAAATCTAGTGAAAGTTGATGGGAAATGGATATGTTTTGGTAACAGTTAACATAAATGTCCTCACCATAATTATCTTTACATATAGTTACATGTTTTTGGTGGACCTTTTCTGGAAAATCCTGCTAGTACGTCCCGCAAGCACGGACCAGCCTCTACCATTCCGAAAATGTGGTAAGATGTTCAGATGAACTATGACTGGGAAAATGTTCTTGTTAAAAATTATTGCGTCACAGGTTTCCTGCAATAGGCCAGTTCTGGACATGCAGTTCCATCATCAGTGGTCTGTTCTTGCTCTTACGAAGAACCAGGCTGTCCGGATGATCACTACACTACGAAAATGGCGTGAAGTCGCTCACACAGGGCTCCAATTACTCAATTTCCACAAGAATCAATGGCCTTTTCAGGGGGGTATGAGAACCACTCCCACTGCATGCAACGAAGGAGTTGCAAGACAGAGTCCGTTTCATAGCGGCACCGGTGCAGTGCCACGACGGCACTGTTCAGCTTTCAGAAATCTTGCACAAAGGTTTGGTGGGGTGGGGTTGTTTTTTTGTGTGCTGTTAGTAATGTGGTTCTTATTGAAAAGTTTTTTCAGATGTACCGTACAGCAGTACCATCAACTTTCATGCAAGCAGGACAGCCGGTGGGTGATCACAATGTAAAAGGTGCGCAGGTGTCCTATACAGCTATTTCTTCTATTACTTAGCTCCCACTGTTAACTGGGAGAAATGACAGTTAGAATATAACGAAACGACACTGAGATAATATTTAATCTGCGTAACATCTGTGTGACATTAGACATAGTACACAGAGCTTCATTGATTCCTCAGGAAAGGTATGTCAAGTCTTACTGTTAGCTTATTCATGAATTTCAGGTGCAGTTAATGAGGGACGAAATTATGTGACACCGGACACTACCGTTCCCCATAATGGGCAGATCCCGCAGGTGCTTCTTTTATTTACAAATTTTGTCCACTGAGGACATGAAAGAGCCACTTCTTTTATTACTTATCCAAGTTCTTCAAAGGTATTTCGAAATGAATTTCCCAACAGCTCTTGCAGAACATGATGCTACAAAGTGGAACAGTTTGCGGACGAAATATTGGGCAGCAAGCATTTCCACCGCAGTGCACTGCAAATCTCGGTTCGCATTATGGCATTACGTATGCATCTCTCACTGTTGCATGCTTGGACCGAAAATAAAACTACCATCGAGATTTTTTTTTTTCATTTTAAAGTCTTGAAGTATTTGCAGAAATGAACAATGGTAAGACACCGATGATGACTGTGAATGGTGGAACTCATCTCATCTCTAACCTACCCAGTAACTCCCCGAATGATGTACGGCAGCATGCCCCGTTTAATCCTCCTCATACAAGTTTGTTTTTCAGGGTTGTTTTCCAAGAACTCATTAAAACAATAGGGTTTTTTTAATTGGTCCTTTTTTTTTGAATAACTTCAAGGGAAATTCATTTCAGATTCAGAATTAATATCAGCCAAGATTTCTGTGCCCTCTACTACGATTGCAACTTTGACACCCACACAGATCGGAACCGCGCCTTCGATGCAAACTTTCATTGGGAACATACCTTCAGTACCTGGTGCGGGGACATTTCCACACATGCTTCCTTCCCACTCACTTCAACAAATGGCACCTAGTACAGAAATTGTGCCACCATTGCCATCGATGGGTTTTGTACCACCGCCGGATCCATCCATGGGGCAACGGTATTTTGGCACGCATAATATTGCACCAGGAATTGGAGGTAAAGCTGAAACAAAACATACAACATTTGGTGGTCTCACAGGAATAGATACTTTTCCAAAAGCTGCTGGCAGCAGTGGTCCACAGATGTCCATGCCCCCACAAATTCCTGGGGCGTATAGTAACTCTCCTTCTGGATCGCTTGGCCTTTCATCAGTGCCTAGCGCACCCCCCGTTAACTATGGTACTGGCAGTACTGGAACGGCTGAACCATCAATGCGTGGAGAAATAATTGGACCACCTGCTGCAGGATTGTATCAGCAGAAACCTCGTTTGGATCCGAATCTGATGCCAAGTGTGGTATGTTCATAAAATTTATTCATCTCATTCTCTTGTGCTTAGAATAGAAATTTCACAGACTGGTGCATATCCTGGAACTTTTTTTTTTCGCCATACATTTCGAAGTTTAGGTTCAAGTAATCGAAGAAGATCGTTCAACAAGGAGTGGGACATTTCCAACCGGTTATCCTACAGCTGAACATCCGCCATTGACATCAACTGAGTTTATTGCTCAGGATCAAGGTATGGACTAGAGTTTGAAAATTTTTTGGTTTTGAAAAAAACTAATTTGGAGCTAGTGGAACTTTAGTTGCTGGTAACCCCTTTATAAGTCTTGCAGTTGAAGGATTCTCTTGAAAGTTCTTTGAAGAAAGAGGTCAAGGCCTTTTATTTTAAGTGAGAAAGAGATGATTTGACAGTTTTTAAATATACTTGGGATTTTTTAAAAAATTTAAAATCCTCATTATTAGTTTTCAGGCATTTGTAGTCCGAAATTTATGCGATCTACGCTCTATGTCGCACCTGCATCATCTGATATGTTAAAAAATTCACAGATGCCATTTGCAGTGGCAGTCACTCCTTTTGCACGTTTGCATCCAGATGAGGTATTTTATTATGTCATTAGTTTGGCATTTGAACAGTTGAAACCATGGCATAAAATTCAAATGTAGGAAGCTATATGTTTGCACTTGTAATTTAATCTCTTTCAGTCGTAACTGTTATTGTGACTTTTAAGAAATACGAATTTGCAGCAGCATTTGATCTTTGGCAGAATGCTTTCATAATCTTAACTGATGATCCATTTGGAACAACTTGGCTTAGTTTTTTTTCTTTTTTGGAACTTGGCTTAGTTTCCAGTTGATCGAACACTGAAACGATATTTCGAAAAAAAAAAATGATTTTTGGTACATGTGGGCGCAGTTTTATGGCATTGAAATTTGTCGATTACTAGACTTACTAGACTTCATAATATATTTCTTTTCACTCGTAGTGAGCAGAAAGCGCAAAAAATAACGAGAACTGAGATATCAACAATACAGTATATAATTATTCACTTAAAATTCTTGCATTTTCAGCATCTGAACTATCACCTTCTATAGTTTTTTCTTTTCTCCTCTTTTTAATTTTGTTGGTAAACATATCTAGTATGTTTTTTTAAATAATGTGCAGATGCAACTCCCAATCGTGGATCTTGGAGAATTGGGTCCCGTGAGATGTCATCGTTGCAAAGCCTACATGTGTCCATTTATGGAATTCCAAGATGGTGGTCGGCGCTTCAGATGCCCGTTTTGCTTTGCATCCACAGCGGGTATGTGTCGACTCATAGTTTTCCCCCGTCAGAGAGCATTCATTTTGGCTTACCAGTGCTCTTATTTATTTTTAGTGGATGATTCGTATTTTGCTCACTTGGATCACACCGGACGTCGCACTGATATCCAGCATCGTCCTGAACAATATCTTGGGTCTTATGAACTTGTTGCAACGAAACCATATTGCAAGGTTTGTTTTTCCATGATTCGCACATTTTGAATTCCAAAGTTGACGAAGTATGGAACTTTTCAAGCTATTTTTGTTCTCAAAATCATTTCCAGAATGGTTTGAAACCAAAAGAACCTGCATTCATTTTTATGCTGGATGTGTCGTATTCTGCAGTGCAATGTGGCCTTGTATCAATATTTTGTAGAAATATTCGAAATTTGTTGGACGATTTACCCAAGTTCGTTTCGTTCATATAATGAAATGTGTTGGGTTTTCTTGTGGGAATATAGTATGAATTTTTGTTTGTGCTTCTTAATGGTAATCGAAATAAAAGTTCATTTCTGTGAATTGAAAGATTTTGTTTTTAGCTGTTATAGATAATGTTGCAGAGAAGTGGGTCAGGTGAAATCGTCTTTGCGTATTGGATTTGCAACGTACGACCAGACTATTCACTTCTATAATCTGAAAAGTCATATAGGTCAACCTGAAATGTTGGTCGTTGGAGACGTGGACGATGTTTTTGTCCCATTGGTGGACGGATTTTTGGTAACATTGGAGGAGGCCGATGTTGTTCTGAATAGGTAGAACATCAAATCCTCCATACATTCAAGTTTAACACTCTTGGTGATTTCCCACTCGCATGGGCTTCCCCTAGTTTATGATCATAATTCCAGAATCATTAGTTTGGTCGATGCAAAAGTTCAAATGCTAGACTGCTTGAATTTAATATCCACCGGGAAAATTTCTCCTGTCATATCTAAAGTATGCAAAAATATATTTTGCTTTGCCTCACTTCGACAGAATTCTAGCTGTTATCATTCTTATACACCGCAGTGAAGAGCCCTCTTTGTATTTCAAGAAGGGAATAAAAAATATCATATTATGATAATCAGTGGAGTCGTTGTAGATAATTTTGATTAAAATGAAAAATCAGCAACACTAAATTTTGCTCGTTTCATTGCAGTTATCATTTATATTTTTTGAGCTTGTTGCATGAAATTGAAAAGATCTTTGGCGAAACGCGAATCACTGAAACAATACTTGGCCCTGTTATCCAGGCTGGTCTGGATGCATTAAAAGTACGCACGATTTTTCCCATTGGTTTGAATATGTCGAAACTAACGAAGAGACACACAATTATAATATCCATGCAACTTCATAGTTAAGCAGAGTTTCAGTGTGCTGATAGAGCAGGCAAATTGTTCATATTCCATACTAATTTACCGTCGCTGGATGCACCTGGAAAGTTGAAAAATCGTGACGATCGGAAGCTGCTTGGAACCGACAAGGAAAAGGTTCATTAATTTAGTCAATCTGATGGTTTGACTGAACTTATTGTTTTGCGTTTCACAGTGCTAAAAACTTATTTGCTGGAGCAAAGCTTTCTTGATTTTGACGTTGAATTTGTTTGCTTGTATGTATAACAGTACTATGCTATCGTAGTTACATTACGACAAGTTTTGCACTTTCATCCGTTTAACAATATTTGTTTCAGACTGTTTTACAACCGCACATCGATTTTTACAGTAAATTAGGCGAAGAATGTGTGAAAGCAGGTTGCGCCGTAGATTTATTCTTGTTCCCAAATTCCTTCGTGGATGTTGCATCACTTTCACCCGTTTGCTCTCTGACGGGTGGTTCCATATACAAATATCAATACTTTGAAGTATGTTGTAATCATTTCTTAATTTGTTTAGCAAGTGTGGTATGCGCAATATGTTTTTCTTTTATCGCTTTAGTTTTAGCAGCTAATTTGTTTGGTCGTTACATGGAATATCATTTTAGACGCAAAAAGATAGCGAACGTTTCTTGGCAGATCTTTCCCACGACATAAGTCGTGAAATTGTGTTTGATGTAATGATAAGAGTACGTACATCCACTGGTAAGTACTGGCTTTAGTCTTTATTTATTTAAGATTATTGCGAAGATATAAGAATTTTTTCTTTCTTTCTTTTGTCCCAGTAATTGTTAATAGTTTTTTATACTGACTGTTACTTTCAGGTTTGCGGCCAACTGGTTTCTTCGGTTCTTTCTTCATGGATAATAGCACGGACCTGGAAATGGGTGCTATTGATTGTGATCAAGTGAATTTCTGTTATAATGAAATTTATATCAGCAGTAACTGTATGAAACTGTGCTTTTTCAACATTTACTTCAGGCAGTTCACGTAGAAATTCGACATGACGATAAATTGCCGGAAGGAAGCGCCTATTTACAAACAGCTGTACTATTTACTTCATGTAGTGGACAGAGAAGACTTCGCATCCACAATCTTGCTTTGGCTGTTTCATCAGATTATAACCAGCTTTACCGTGTTGCTGATTTGGACTGTTTGACGTCTTTCCTCTTCAAGCAAGGTAAAAGTTATCGCAACCCGTACTTTCGGGACTTATTTTTGTTTTCAAAATGGAACTTTCGTTTTATTTTGAACACATTTCTAGATTTATAATTTGTAATTTTTTTTTCCAGCGGAGTATGTTTTGCGCGACAAATCTCCTAAGGAAATGCGGGAGGCGGTGAATGCACGTTGCGCGCACATGCTGGCAACATACCGTGAGAAATGCAGCGAGCATGCACCGCTTGGGCAACTTATTTTGCCAGAATGTTTGAAACTTTTGCCGTTATTTGCAAACTGCATAATAAAGAATGATGCACTTAGTGGAGGTCAGTTTCCAATTATTTAGTTCCACTTCTACAATTTGCTTATGTTGTACAATCAGTTTTTCTTCGTCATTTAAGCTATTCAAATGTTTTTTGCTTTCTTCTGTCTAAAATAGAGGTCAATTTGATTGTCTTTTAAAAAGGAGCCTTTAAAATTTTTTTCAGGTAGCGACATATCAGTGGATGATAGAGCTTATCTAATGCATCTTATTCCATCCTTGAGGACAGAGGATGCATTAACTTTGTTATATCCTACAGTGTTTCCTATTTCTGACCTGATTCTTGAGCAGCAACCTACTGAGGTATTAAATTTGCATGCCTTTTTTTTTAGGAAGTTCACTGCTTCACATTAATGTTTATTGTAAAGATTTTCATAATGATTTTCAGATAACATTACCGACATGCATACGCGCTTCTTATGATAACTTGTTACCAGAGAAAGCGTATATGATTTTTAACGGTATCATGATGTTCTTATGGATTGGTTTAAAGGTGCCACAGGATTGGGTGCAAGATGTCTTTAATTCTAATTCAGTCGCACATCTCAACGTGGAGAATGTTTGTATTTTAAATGGTTCATTTGAAAGCTTACATATTCTACAATTATTTTCACTGATTTCATCTATTTAAATTATCCTAATAAATGTGTTTTAGCATGTTGTGCCGGAACGTGACAATGCACGATCACGTGCTGTACGTTACGTTATTGAACGGGTGAACGTGAATCGGTTGCGACATATGAAACTGTTCATGATTCGACAGCAGGATGCGTTAGAAGCTTGGATGAAGAAATTTCTAGTTGAAGATCGTACATCGAGTATGCCCTCATATGTGGAATATTTGTGTAACATTCATCGTGAAATTAGAGGTTTACTGACTTGAAAAGACATTTTCATGTTCTCTATTTCCATATTTTGTTACTCCTGTATTTTCATTCGGGAATTGATGTATCAGTTGTTTAAATAAAAGTGTGTAATATGTGATGTATTGATTGTGACAAGCGCCATATCTTTATACTAATCCCACTGCTTGAAGCATCTTTCTGTTTCAGTTTAACGGGATCTCTTCATTGGAACTAAAATTTACAGTTTTTTCTTTTCCAAGTTTATACTGTTTGTCAATTTTTTATTTTGTAGATCAGTATATTGAAGTTCTGAAGTGACATTCTCTTAACTTCATCTTTAAAATTTTTTACATAGAATGATAGGATACATGATGCTTTCTACCAGTATTGTAATGTTGACTGTGATTGTAATGGTAATTATTTACAAATTATTATTGTAATGATAGTTATGACGAGTGATGCGATACATGAGCCATCGTTTGGCACCTGCACCCTCACTGTGCATACTATCCACACTTTGTTTAGTTTTCTATTTTTTTTCGATTGAAGTCCATGTTTACATCATGCTTCCTTTTCATTGTGATTGTACTGAAAAGCCTTATTTATATCTATACTTATCTTTCCGTTAAAAACATTTGTTTTTCAAATGAAATCTTCACTTCCAGTTGTGCCATTTAGTTTTGTCCTGCATTTATACGGTGCAATTAAAGTGGCCAGTTTGTTTATGCAAAATCAAATGAAATATCATCATCGGTAAGAAAAATACGGGGAAACTCAGTTTTCGCAAATAAAATTCAGTGTTTAGATTGTATGAATGAGGCAAGAGCTGACAGTACTTTGGTTTCAAGTGAGCGGTGTGGTTGAGGTTACATGTTGATGTGGTATGCGTTTGAAAGTAGCAGCAACAGTTCAGTTTTTCGTGCATGATCAGGAATGGAATTGTGAAGAGGTCATAAATTGGTGTGTTTTACAGAAGGAAAGCGAAGTTTGGATTTGATTCTGGGACTAAACTTTGTGCTACGGGCACTGTTCGAGGACTTACACAAATTACTATATACCGGGTGTGCTTTTTTATATTCCACTCCTGTCTAATTTCTCTATACTATCAGATCTCTAGGCAGTGGATATTGTGTTGTATATTCTAGATTATAGGTTTATACGTGTAACTGTGGGACGACCCAGGTGTAACGCATTAATGCAAAGAGGAGAGGATTCTAATCAAGAAATAAACCCACTGTTCTTCATTGTGACATTACAGTCCGCCATCTAAATGTTATTCATTTACTCGTTGTAAATGAGTGTGGTGCGACTAGAGCTGTGATTGTAAAGTTATTTACCAGTAGTCTGGGACGGGAAGGGCGGGGGGATTTTTGTGGGCTGGAATGACCATCAGCGAGCTGCAAGAGGAAAATGATGTATGCGAACGAAAATGAAGCATGCTGTAACGATGGATATGGGCATAAACTTTGGTTTTCATCATGTTTAAAAGGTACCGGTGTGGCTATATGGTGTGATAGCCTCATTACTGGAATTGTTCGAGACTGTCGATTGCTTGAGTTCCGGGTATTACCTTTTTTTTCGAGTACAGAAAGTCCTTCACAATTCTGATGTGTGTAGCAGTTCTTCTAAATTTACAAAATGCTCATCCAAAGTAATCTTTGCTTTTTATGAGAGGGGAACGGATGCTTTCTCCAATTGCGCTGATGTCCGATAATCCTATCTCTCTTATCGATCCTCTTATTTTGTTTACGAACAATAGGAAGTTTTCTCTTTTAAACGAGATTGAATTACACTACTCCTTAAGACTGTTTTTGCAAATTTATTTGTAAATGAATGATGTGCTGCAGCAGAATCTGAACATATCAACGCAGTTGTTGGAGTGTTCAACGGTTGGGCGAGTTCCTGGAGGTTTCACAGCGTGGTTTTTAGCTAAATCCATAGTGTCCTGAATTTAATCACGTAAATAACCTACCGATAAAATTGCATAAATTTTACAAATCATCCTAATTTTTTTCGCAGAAATTTTTGAAGAACATCAAAATAAATTCTCACTGTTGACAAAACATTTTTAGGATGTTACGCTCGGAGAGCCTTATGGGATGACTGGACTTTGCCAAGTCTTACCATTTGTTTTCTCATTTCGATGCATTGCTTTATACAACATTCCATTATGGGTGTCTTCATTGTAGGAAGCTATGGAAATCTTATCTACTGGGATTTTTCGATGTATCAACTTTGTTATCAGTTTCATACATCAGTATCGGTCCAACATTTCAGATTCCCGTTCAGATTCCCGCCCCGGCAAACTATGACAGTACCGGGTTCTGGGAGAGCAGTCAGTGATATTCGTAAAATGTCACTAACCAAAAGCAAAACCGCACTCCACAGCTTCGAACATCTCGTTAAAGGCAAGCTATTATTGATCGGTTATTACTGATCTTTGACTGTTTCTCATACAATTACTTTTTCTTTGCTCCAATTTTCTAACAGAGATAACCGAGTTGAGTTAGACATTCCTCCTTCCAAAAATGCTACTTAAAGAGAATTCGATGTTTAGAAGTCGTTCACTGTTACCTAAGCTGTTTTTTCTCAATACTAAGTCGTTCACGTTCAGTTTGGCACTGATTCAAAATGGTTAAACTTAACCTAAGATGACTGATTCTATATTAAGAATTCTTATGTCAACTGTTAGTGTACACTAGAATTATGATAGCATCTGATGATGAATGCAAATATAAATTAGACTTGGTCATGAATGCAAATATAAATTAAACTTGGTCATGGAGAAAAATATGAATCTGCAAATGAAAGGAGGAAAAGAATAAAGAAATGTGAAGTACGAAATGAAGTGGAAGAGGAATTTGAAAGCGTCTTTTAACAGCTTATTCACAAGTTGAGTATTATTCAAAACACTCCAACTTAGCTGTAACATATTACTCTTCTTTCGTAGTCGTTAGAGGGTCGCTGTAAGATTATCCGATGATTT